ATTGAAGATACTTAAATACAAGAATGAACCCAATTTTTGGTCCTAAGATGCCACACAATGTTTATGATTACGAATGCTAAAAGGAAAACTCTACAGGGAGGACACAAAACATCACTGGGAATAAAGGAATGTAAGCAAACTACAACTCAAAACTATCAGAGAAAGATTGATGGGGAAAATAACTTATCGGGGGAATGACATAACTCTGGGGACGATTGTGTGATGGGGAAAACCAAAATTACAAACAGAAAAAAAAATCAATTATGATTCCATAGGGGAAAGCTCAACTCTATTTCGGACCAACCCAAAGAGGAGAGAATTCAAATCTATTGGGAGCAATCCAAAAGAATGAATAAAGAAACTCAAGTCAATCGAGACCAACCCAAGGGGGAGGAAAATCATATCTATTGGGAACAACCCAAAAAGAACGAAACAGGAAACTCAACTCTATCAGGACCAACCCAAAGAGGAGAAAAAGGAAACAAGATAACACCATCTCAATAAATGAGATTAAAGAAAGGGTAACACCGACTTATAGATGACATTGGAGAAACAAAAATATCGATTAACAGATGATGGTAAACTACAAACCCATAGACGAAGGTAGAAAATCAAAGGAAATACCGACTAACAGATGACGGTAAATTACCAACTCAACAGAATAAGGTAGGAAAAGCAAAGATATACTGACTAACAAATGATAGTAGACTACCAACTCAATAGACAAAGGTAGTAAAATCAGTAGATATATTGACTCACAATTAACGGTAAGCTACCAACTCAATAAATGAAGGTAGAGAAAATCAATAGAAATATACTGACTCACAGATGACGGTAAACTACCAACTCACAGACGAAGATAGAAAAATCACGAGATATATCAGCTCATAATTGACGGTAAACTACCAACACACAGACGAATGTAGAAAAAGTAAGAGATATACTGACTCAGAGATGATGGTAAACTACCAACTCACAGATGAAGGTAGAAAAGTAAGAGATATACTGACTTACAGATGACGGTAAACTATCATCTCAATAGACGAAGGTTAAAAAGGCAAGATATATACCGACTCACGGATAACGGTAAACTACCAACCCAAAGACGAAGGTAGGATCTACATTAATAATAACAAGTTTCTCAAAAATTCTGGTATTCCACCTAGGATGGGTCTCAATTTCTTCTTTAACAAAGGCATTCAACCTAGAAAGGGTAATAACCTCCCAAAACTTTCGGTCTTCTCCAAGAACAGGACTAGACTTCCTCTTTAACCAAGGCATTCCACCTGGAAAGGGTAATAAACCTTGAAAAAACTTCAGGTATACAATCTGGAAAGGCATAAGTTTCTTCCTTAACCAGCGCATTCAACCTGGAAAGGGTAATAAACCTTCCAAAAACTTCCAGTATACAACCTGAAGAGGGCATTTATTTCTTCTTTGACTAGAGTATTCCACTTGGAAAGGGTAATAAACCTCCCAAAAACTTCTGGTATACAACTCGGAGAGGGGATCAATTTCTTCTTTGACCAAGGCATTCCACCTGGAAAGGGTAATAGACAAGATCCTTAAAACGTAATCACTTGCGGGAGATGATCAACAACTCTGTCGGGGTACCTCCAAGAGATACAAGCAGGTTGGACAAACAAAATGATGCTCAAATAAAGAGGCAATCACTTGTCGGGGATAATGAATTGTCTGGATCGCGTCAAGCTTCCCAAAATATAGGGAGAGCCACGAAAAAATGTTGAACTTGATTTCACAAAAGGCTTCTCTACTAGGGATAAACCGGAGAGACGGCCGCTCAATGTGAAGATAAGAAGTTCTGGAGATAAGCAAACTTTTGTTGAGGTTACCATAGCAAAATTGTTGGGTAGATAATAATCTTCGTCTTATGATGGGAAATATCAGGTCTTCAAAGGTGCAAAATAAATGCACCCAAGGACCAAAGTTCAATCCAGGAATGAACTGGAGAGAAATGGTCAACAAGACTCAACTCATTGAGGAATAAACTCAACTGAGGACTTATTCCATCCATATAATGCTAGGAAGGAGGTTTGAAGAAAAAAATTATTCCAAGGGGAACAAACTCAGTGGGGAATTAGAAAGGATGCACACTTTCTGCTTAAGGATGAAACTCTACTGGAGAGAGTACACACACTTTGTAAGAGGATAAACAACACTAAAGAGTGTATCAAGATATGCAAATGAGCAATGCATTTTCATTCAACTGTGTATGATGTGTGTATGAATGAATGAATGAATGAATGAATGAATGAATGTCATGTATATGCTGACAAAACAAATAAACAAATAAAATAATCAAACATCAAAGTACAACTGGATACTTGGCTAAATCTCGACAAGACTGAGATACCACAGGAGATCCTACTGAAAATTCTACTAGGAATTCAGCTGGAGATGAACAAAATCCACTGAAGGAACAAAGTCTTGCTACAAGGCTTAAATCTATGGAGAAAGGAAGATGCTGCTTGGGGAAAACCCAAAGTTCAATCTTCTAACATCAATAATCCACTGATGGGATAACGACATGAATTCTGCTTCAAAGAAATGGAAAGATTAGCTGGGGAAACACAACACAAATCTTCAAACTCTTCTCGGGGAAAGAACATCCACACAAACTATATTATGGGAAGAGGAAGTCTTGCTAGGTATAAACACAAAGCAAACTCTTTGAGAAATATCAACCTCTGAGAGGGATAACACTTATTTACAACAAAAAAAACTCTGCTATGGGGGAAGAGGAATCTATCGAGGATCACACCATAAAAAATTCTTCAAAAACCAAGAGTAATAATCTCACAAATTCACGATGCAATGAAAACTTAGAGTAAAGATAGACCTAAGGAAACCCAAACGGGTTTGGGGATGATAATATACAAACGGAAACCCTTACAGACTAGGGATCATGACATATAAAAATAAAACCCATACAGGCTAGGGACTATGACATTCAAAGAAAAATCTCTATAGGATAAGGATTATGACATACATAGGAAAATCCCTACAGACCAGGGATTATGATAAACAAAAGGAAACTCTTATGGGTTTAAGGATAATGATATACAAGAGGAAACCCTTATGAGTTTAGGGGTTGTAAAAGAATGGCCCTCACAGGAAGGCTCCTTATGAAGGATATGATATAAATAAAACATCCTATTGGAGGGCTCCTACAGGAGGTTCTAAGTCTTTTCTATCCAATCCCCCACAAGGGTGGCTTCTAATGGTATCATGGATAACACATAAGGACAAAGGAACAAGGGCCTCCCTTAAGTGAAGCCTCTGTGTAGACCAAGACTTTCGTCTTGTAGGCCATACAAGGTCTCACAATGAGATTTCATTTTTGGGTAAAGGTCCCTAGCGTTATTGGTCAAATTTAAAGTCATACCTTCAAGAGAGACTAGTCTTCCAAAGATATTTCTAGGAATTCGACCCACTCTAAGCAAAGTTGTCACAAAAACTCAGAGGGATGTTAAATCCCCTTGGCTAATAGACAACCCCTTATCTAAGGTTTTATCATGTGAATAAGATCCCACCAACAATAATAACATGATAACAAATATAGTAAAGAATAAAAAAGCAATAAATAAAACAAAAACAAAGAAATTATAACAAAAGAAAAAACCCAAAAAGTCCTAAAGTTAAAGATATGATAAACTCTAACTTAAGGATTATGTCTCCAGCAGAGTCGCCAGCTGTCGCAACCGACAAAAAATAAGAGAGTCGTCACCACTACTTTTTGTCCTAAGGATGGAAAAGGACGTAACCCTAATTATTTCAGAGATTATTGGATCCGCAAGTTAATTAGATAAATGGAAGGTGTTAGGCACCCTTTACCTCCCTTGTACTCAAGGGAATCCTTTTTAGACCTTGGACTTATGGGGATTACTTCTTTATTTAATTATTAAATGCGGGAAAAGAAATGGGAAACATAAGATTTTTAAGTTAGTGGACTCGCCTTGGTTTTTCAACTGTGTGCCTACGTATCTTCTTAAGAAGAAATCAGAGTCCTTCGTAGTTCGAAGTTGTTTGTTGATTGATTTTAGTTGCGGAAGAAAATAATCGAGCTGAAATAGCGCGCGCTAAGTCTTTGATCACTCAAATGAGTAAATGTGGATTCAGCCATTTTTTAATTTGTATTTATGAAAAAATTTGTGTTTGAATTAATCGCACGGGGCGAAAATGATTTATTGTCGCACGAATATAAATAAATTTGATCATCGAAGAAGCAAAGTTTGATGAGTTTTGAACAAATTTTAGATGTGAATTTGAATAATTAATTAGTAATCGTTAAATCGATCAATCAATTATTCGAAGATGTGATATATTTTTATTTATAAAAGAAATATTATAATTAATTTACTTTAAAAAAATTTTGAGTATGTACAAGTTGATGATTTGAATTATTAAATTAATCCGGAAACTTTGAAATAATGTACAAACTTAGTAATTTTTACTTAAAACTAAAGGTATATTCTTTGGTATTTTAATGATAGAAATAGATAAAATTAAATTAATTACTCAATACATAATCTAATTATATAATTAGTAAAATAAAACAAAACTTAGATTAACTAAAACTTAAACAATTTGAAAGGGGGTGCTAATTAATAATTGAAATGTATGTTAATAGAGAGAGTATTGGTTAGTAAGGACATGTTAATTGATAATTGAGATGTATGTTAATAGAGAGAATATTGGTTAGTAAGGACAGAGGTCCAAAATACTTAACCCAATCAAACCCTAATTAAATTCAATAATATAAAGAAACAATAAATAAATAAAGAAGAATTGGGACTTGGAGGCTACCACCGCCCCTGTCACCTGATGCATCTAAAAAGAAGCTTTTACTATGCTTTTTTTATTCAAATCATACAACAAGAACCAATAGTAAGCCGACACGTGTCTACTCTTATTTTAAATAATAAAAAAATGGCAAAGTGAATAAAGGAAAGGCTAGAACAATGAAACACAGAGAAAACTCACTCTTTCCTTTTTCCAAACATCAATACACAAAATAAACTGTAACAAGTGTTAACCCAAATCGGAAATTGATCAAATGAAAGAGAAGAGGAAGATACCATGGTTGAACCGACGGTCCTGATCTCGGCTGAACTCTGAGCGGTGAGCAAAGGTGGAGTTGAAGGCGGCTGTCCGGTCGTGGGGATGTCGTACGGATATGTATTATGTCGGTTTGGAGATGGTGATTCGCAGGAGGAGGCACGAAGTTCGTCGACGGTGGAGCTTTGGCTCTGATGTTGTTTTGCGGCGGCGGATTTGAGATCTTCTTTTCCTTCTCTTTCTCGATTCGAAACACTGTTGTTCTTCTTCTTTCTCGATTCTGTTCCTGCAAAAAAACTCAAAGTGTTGTTAGATTGTTTTAATTTTGTGATGTTGATAATGATATAAATTTGTTGCTGTTAGTGAATGTTAATGAATCAGTTTTTTTTTTGTTTTTAAAGAAAGATTACAGGTTGTAGGTTTATTCTCGTGTTAGAACAAGATTTGTGTCAATAATATAATTTTGATGTTTCGATGGTATATATATATATATATATATATATATATATATATATATATATATATATATATATATATATATATATTTTTGATGTGAAACAATTTTAGTTCTAATAAATTTTTTGAGTGTACAGATAAAAAAATTCTAATTGAATCAAGACAGTTGTCTGGAGAATCAGAAATACACCAAACACATTAGAAAGACTGTTCGCTTCTAAAGAAACATCAATAGTTCTGAAGAATGCTGAATGTTTGCCAGAAAGAGGATCGTGTGTGTATTTTTCAACAAGTTGTTGCTTCAGAAGTCACAAGTAATCAAGAATAAAGAGTTTCTGATAAGTTGTTGTTTCAAGATTAGAAATCAAGAATGTACAAGAAATAAGCCTCCAGCGCAAAGGTCAGAAGTCAAGACTAGTACATCAGAAAAGTTGTTGCTTATAATTCTGAAGACAAAGTCAAGACTCTGAACACATGAAGAGAAATCTTCTACTTCCACATTAGAAGACAAGGCTTGTTCATCAGAAGAGTTGCTGCTCACATTTCTGAAGACAAAGTCAAGTTTCTGAAGACTCGGATAGTTCATGGAATACACACTTCAATTCAATATCAAAAGTATTCCATCCTAAGAAAGGATGAAAGAAAGAAAGATCTTTTGGACTCACTTCTAATCAACATCACAAAGTCCATCAGAAGACAAGATCAAAGGATGACATCCTTGCAAGCCAATCTACTCAACATAATAACTATTGTGACTGTCTCTAAAGAAACATCGGCAATTCTAAGGAATGCTCAGTGTTCATCCGAAAGAGAATCAAGAAAGTTCTTAAGAAAGTGTCACTCTCAAATATTAAGAGAAAGAATTCACGATCAAACACTAATATATAGCTGACATAAGCTGATGCTTTCAGCTCACTACAAAGATAATAATTCTTGAGATCAGAAAAGTAAGAATTCAACATCGAAATCAGATGTACTGATATAAGCTTCTGCTTCAAAAATTAGACATCGGATATGCAACTCAGAAAAGCTAATTATCAAAAATCAAGGATCAATTCAAGAAGTCAATATCAGAAAAGCTTTTGCTCATAGAAGACATTGTTCATCAGATAAGTTGTTGCTTATATATCTGAAGACAATATTCAACTATATGACTTTACAACAATGAAACTTGTTATGGATCATTTTCATCATCATATCAGAATCAATCCAGCAAGAAGAAAAGAAGACAAAGACAAGATCAAGAGACATATTCCAAGCTTACTACTTCAAGCTAGAAGTAAATCATTAGAAGATAAGGTCGTAAGAAACATAGCCACGAAGAATATAGTACAGTCAATACATTTAAAATTCCACTACATGCTTATGTATTGTACTATGTTGTCTCCCACGATGAAATGCTACCGTTACTGTAGCTGGAAAGTGAAAGCGACATCTCTGTTCTATCAACAGTCTTATTATCAATGTCTATATAAAGAGACCTCATCATCATTTAAAGATTGACTAACTACTTTGCACTATCAAGCTTGAATCAAATTGTTGAAATACTGAGAAACGTCAAGAGAAAAGAAGAATCTCTATTCATATACATCCATAAATATTCCTCTAGAGAAGTATCAAAAACACAAGAGTTGTTGTTTGTTATTGTGTTAAGATATTAGGGATTAAACTCAAAGAGTTATTGCTCATTTTTGTGTTTGATCTTAGGATTCTCCATACAAAGAGTTAACGCCTCTTTCTTTTCTGTTGTGTGTATTCAAATGCGTATGAATGGTGTGAGGTTGTTTGTATAGTGATAGGAGAGTGTATAAAGACTTAGTGAGCTAGAAAAACCGTTCGAGGGGAATATGGACAAATCTGTCACAATCAGTGAGAAAAGGTGTGATGTTTGCGTTTTATCCACAAATGAGTGACCACATGCTGCATTTTTGAAGTGAGAATAAAATAAGGAATGTACTATGTATGAGCTAGCAGAGAGGAAAGAAAGTACTGAGCACATGGGAGATAAATTTGAGAGAATTTGAAAATGTTAACATTTTTGGCAAAGATGCCATTTCGTGAGCATGATCAATATCTGAGTGGTCTGGCCAAAAGGAGCAAATGAAAGAGATCAAAGGCATGTATCTGAGGTGTATACCAAGACTAAGGCAGCAGATTTTTGCATTATGTGCATGAAATCACAAATGGGGTCAATTTTGGCTACAAACACAAAACCTTTTGCCCTCCCAACCTTATGCTAATTTATTTCTCATCTCTTGGCCAATTGGACTGGCATTGAGCTCTTTAGAAAGCTCACAACATGATGAGCATTTCTCATGTTGATGGAAAGTTGAAACAAGGTCTTGTAGTCCCTTAATTTTGGCCATGAACATTGCCTCTTAAAATTGTGCATGCACGATGTTGTAGCAATCATACAACTGTCGAGACCTTGCCAAAGTGACAACCATAACTTCAACTCATTATATCTTGAATTGTGCTCATCAAAGTGGGACACAATCTGAAACAAAAATGAAGTTAACAATGCCCTCTATGACTTTGATGTCAATTACAAATCCAAAAAATTCTTAAACCATGGATAAAATTGAGTCTAAACCAATGCCTTACACCTGTTTGATAAAAGTCCTGGCCTGGCGCACGCGCAGGCTTCTCATGCTGGGCAGTTTTGCAGCTTGGAGCCTCAAAAACCTAATCATCATATCTCTCCACAATGCACCAAATGAGATGATCCTTGAATCAAAGTTGAAGAATAAGTTCTAAACTTCTTCTTTCATGTTTGGGAATTTTTTATTTTAGTCCAAATGAAACCCTAAAAATGACCATGAAGAAATCTCATTTTATGCACGTGACTTGAAATTTTTTACTACGTGTCAAAAATTTTCTAAGCCATATAACTTTCTCTCCTGTCACTTTTTGGACTTGATCTCACAAGGACAAAGTTGAAGAATTTTCCTTCCTCTTTCCAACCATGTAAAGTTTGCAATTTTTCAATAAAAAATGAAGAAATTGTGAATTTTTGAAATTCAGCCTTATGAGTTTCCATACTTAGCAAATTTTCAATTTTCACCAAGATACCTTCACGAACAAGTTAACTTCAAAATCCATATTTCTCTTAAATTTCTTCAACCATAGGCCATGTGATGTTGAAACATGATCATTGACCTTAACTTTGACCATAAGTCCTCTTGGTCAACAGTTGACTTTTGTTGACTTTTGCTTAAATAACTATTTTACCCCCAATTGATCAATTGAATCACTTCCAATCAAAATTGATGCTCAATTATTCAATCATAGGTGCTTAGAAACATGTAGAAAAACATGGAATCAAGTCATGCCCAAAAAATCAAAGATTTCCTAATTAAATCAAAAAACCCTAATTTTGGTCCTTTATGTTATGAGATGATGATTCAGTCTCAAAACCCTAATTCCAAGGAACATAATGAGAAATTCTTTGAACAAAGATGTCTCATACAACAATGAGGGGATATTGCTTCATAAATTTAGCCCACAAAAATATCAAACACTCCATTTGGACAAAACCCTAATCTCAAGGGATGAATAGGAGAATTGTGACTCATTTCAATACTCTTGCAATTTCAATCTTCTGATGAATCAAAGAGACAATTGAGATGTCTTGAGGCATGAGAAAACCCTTGTAGCTTGATTAACTCAAAGATTGAGGGTATGCGACCCTTCTTACACTGATTGATAACACGACCATCTTTCATAGCTTGTAGAGGAACTTGGGAACCAAGATACCTTGATCCTATCACAATGTATGAATGTATATGACGAAACATAAGTCGTTAAAGTTATAAAAACAAGAGGGTAAATATTTGGGTGCAATAGCTGCCCCTATTCAATCTTCTTAAACATGATAAGTGAGAAAAAGCGACAACTTTTGAACGTTTGAGGTGGAAGAGGATTGAATACTAAAAGAACCCAAAAAATTACGCTCTTGAACAAGAGAGTAAAGCAACAAGGGTATCTATATTTTATGAGAATGATACCAAGAAAACTGGGTGTAAGAGGGGAAGACTAGTGAAGACTAAATCTTACCAAAGAGTGTCAGATAAAACTGGCCTCAAGAGATATAACAAGTAGAAATTGGATTTGAACGACGAGCCAAGTAGAGATTGGACTCAATAGGTAAACCAAGTATAGATTGAACTTGAAAAGTAAGCCAAATAGAGATTGGACTTACACCAAGAGAACTAGTGGATGCTAGACTCTAGAAGAATGAGCCAGGACAAAATTGAATCATAGGCCGCAAAAATGAGATAAAACTCAACCCAAGAAGACTAGATAAAACTAGACTTTAAAGATACGAATAGATATCAAATCTGAACGGGTATACCAGAAATAAACTGGTCTCGATCAACAAAGGACAAATAAAACAAAACTTATACCATTAGCATGCTAGTTGAACGCTGGTGGGATCGAGTAGAGGTTATCGAGATAAAACTCGGCCTCCGGGAGTACTACAAATAATGCACCGGGTAAAAACTAGTATGCAAACAAGGTAACGAGACAAAACTCAGCCTAAGAAGGACTAGATAAAAGTAGGCTCTGAAAAATTTCTCAATAGGACAAAAATAGTAATTTGATCCTATATCAAGGTGAAAGAAAGTGCGTGTATTTTACAAGACACATGCTGGTCTCAAACGAGGGTAGACAGTAGACGATGCTGAACGAACCCAAAGAATAAAAGAGACAGATAATAAATAAAAATTTGGATCAAGAAGACTAGATGAAACTGGTCCAAAGATGAGACTTAAAAATGAGTAGCAAACTCCACTCAAGAAGACTAGATAAAACTAATCTAAAGATGAGTACCAGGACAAAACTGGATTGCACCCATAGGTAACGAGATAAAACTCGACCTAAGAGCAACTAGATAAAACTAAGCTAAAATGAATATCAGGGTAAGACTGGTATTCAAAAGGTACACAATTAGACATTGAAATGAACCAACAAGGGTAGTAAAGAATAAGCCTAAGAAAATTATGCCAGGGAAAAACTGAATCACAATAAAAGGTAACGAGTATACACTCAATCACGATAAACTAGTGGCTACTAGACTCAAGAAAAAGGTACCATGGAAGAACTAGACCATGGGCAAAAGGTAACGAGAAGGGAATATTAGAAATATACTAGACTCGAACGATACACCAATAAACTTTGGTCGCGAATCAAAAGGACTTGCACAAGCAAGAAACATCCCTTATACGAGAAGCAAGAAGAGGACCAACTTACGCTAAGTAAGGGAAGGATTTGTGTTGGCAAGAAAAATAACTACATTATCCCTCAGGAAAAAGGCATAGTGTAATCCTTCATAAGTGGAAATTATAGGAACCGCCAAACACCAAGTAAGGCTCTTCAGATAATTGAGAAGAAAGAAAGGTTATACACCAACTCTTTCATGCACTTTTAACTTTGAGAGGCAAACACGAGTAAATAACCGAGAAGAAAGGATAGTCATAAAACGGTAGACGTCATGGAAAAATGTCAGGGATATCAGGGGATATCTATGGGGATGAATATATGGGTCACCAATGGATAAAGTAACACGCTGGGGATATGATCCAAAATTTTTAGCAAATCCAATGGGGAAAATATAAACAACAATGGCTTATGTTTCAATGCATGTTTAATTTTTTCTATATGGAGTAGCATTACCAAAAGGAATGGAAACATACACTTTGAGGATGCAATGCGATGATGCATGATTTCGCTGGAGAAAATAAGACACAAGGAACCGCTGGAGAGAAGCCCTTAAAAAGATGAAACTCTATAGGGAGTAACAAACTGAGTAACCGGTAAATATGGGCTACATGCTCGGAGGGGAGTTGCAAAAATAAATTGCTAACTCTGTTAGAGAAGATCAGATCAAAATTGTAAACTCTGATAAGGTACGCCAATGAAGATTGGACGTTGCTAGGGAAGATACCAATAATATGGGGCCTGCGGGGAATCAAAATTCACCTATAGATGCTTGAAGAATAATTTGTCAACCTCTCATCTAGGGATGACAAAAACTTGTACTGTTGGGGATATGAGGATCCAAGCTGGAGACAAGAGAACTTATGCACAAAAGTCTTGCCGGGGAGGACATAATCTTGGCATAAGTAAACTCAACTTGGGACTTACAAATGATCTTCAATAAGAACGGGCACGCAGGGGATATGAGAAACCTCAGGTAATAAGTCCCAATGGCACGTTCCTTTGGGGATATGAAACTTATCAACCTCCAGGATCAAACTCTACTGGGGAGAAAAGGGAGAATCCTTGAATAAGAACTTTTAATGAAACGACTCAGCTGGGGAAATAGGAATCCCTGAATAAGAGATCTCGATAAGGCAATACAGCTGGCAAGATAAAAGATTTTGAGCAAGTGATCTCAGAAAGTAGCCTCTTATAGGGATTGAGATAAGCTTCAAGATGACTCAGCTTGGTAAAAATGAACAGTCCTCAAATAGACTTGGCTTGTGGATGAGAAAATATTCTTAGCATAAGGAGTCTTAAGATAAGCTTCCGCTGGGGAGAAGAGAGAATTCTTGAATAAGAAATCTTGGTGAAGTGACTTGTCGGGGAATAAGAAAATTCTCAACCGGTACTCACGGCTGGGGAATGAGAAAGATCTGCTTTGGAGAATATACATTCTCTAATGAGCATAAAACATTACATATCTACTGGGGATATAAATTCTCTACTAAGAAATCTCATCAATCATAAACTATCAGACAAGGATTCTCCGCTTGGTGATGCTAGGGAGAAGAAAACTTCAAGTATTGTTGAAGAATCATCCAAGAATTTCCAAATCAGCCAGACTTTTAGCCATAATCCCTTTGCTTGGGGAAGACTCACTGGGGAGAAGTAGAAACTTCAGTACTTCTGGGGAAATGACTCAAGCTGGGGATATCGTAGTCATATTGGATGATGTTGTTATGGTATTGGCAATTTACACATGAGCGAGTGAACTATAGTTCCTACAAAACAAATCACACCAAACGTGCCCCAGGTATATTATGAAGGAATTTCACTGGAAAAGGTCCTTGTAAAAACATGGCACTATACTGATTCAAGATAAAATTCCCCAGTGTATTCAAGCTCTGAAAATCTTTCAACTGATTTATGGAGAGATTTGTCGAATCTCGACGTAATTGCTTCAGATTGACTGACCTTTGAAAAGATTCACCTCGAGAGGACTTCTTGAGATCTATTCCATCAAAGATAATATGCCCCAGTATTATGTACTTCCCCTGACTAATCAACATTGGAAGTGGCTTTAATGAAATTTGGGTAACGGACCCCGATTACTCAGCACTTTGAGATATTCTTCGAATCTCAACATAACTGCCCCAGACTGGCTGAATCTACAAATTTCATTCCCTTTAAGGGTACTTAAATAGCAAGGCATCATATTGTTCATACTCATCAGAGCCTCTAGAAAACATGCCCCTGAATATCATCAAGTCTTTGAAAATATTAGCTTTTGATTCAACGGAGTATTCAAGCCTATCTTCTTTGACAAGATTAAGCTATTCACTAATGCTCATTGTGTAAACTCCCTTGATGTTAAGAAGTTGTTTTGCATGCAGCAGAGTGTTTATTATGAGAATGATAATTCTAGTGCAACACTTATGCAAGTCTTGAATTTTTATATGGAAAATACATTGCAACTTCTTGTGAACGAATCACTTTTAGATTGCAACACTTGAAAATATTTTTCTGTTTATAAACGATAAGAACGAGCATATGATACCAACACAAATATTTAGCATGCATTTTGGGAGTCAGTTAAATGTTATCTCGTTGTAGTATATTTTCAAGTTAACCCATGCTTTAGTTAGAACTTTTCTGGTTTGTAACGTGGCTTGGTTCACAGTTTTAGAAAAAAGGATTTAAGGCTCAAAATTATTTGGTACCCACCCATTCTCCATGATATTCTTCAGTCCTAAGTTCAGTCAACTTGATACGAGCACTCATCTCTCAAGAGGATTTTGTTATGATTGAGGAATCCACGAGGTTTTTGGACACGTCAATCACTCACCTTTGTTTTTGGTGTCTGATCACACGACTTTGTTCTTTGCTGAGGATTTTATTTTGTAATCCTTTTTCGCCTTTTAGGCTTTTCATTCTTTTTTTTTTATTTTTCGCTTTCCCTAACTTTTTCCTGGACAAATTATTTTTGAATTTTGATTTTGAAGTTTAGCGGGATGCCCTAATTTTTGCCTAAGTTGCTTGTTTTCAAGTTTTCGACTTAGCGAGATTTCTTTCTTCTTTTTTTTAATTCTTTTTTGAACAAATTGTGTGACCTCGAGTCATTTTTAACTCGTCGGAAAGATTGTTACTGCCTCATTCCTTGGTTGGCGAGGGATAACCATTATGGATTTGATTTTTCTTGACCTCTTGATATGTGAGTGATAAGGTGTGGTGATCCTCGGATATTCACTCCCTGTTGAAATTTGAATGCTCGATCAAATTAATTGAACACTACCCGACCTCCGGGTTAAATGTGAGAGTTTTTTCTAACTAGAAAATAAACTCCTACTTCAAGGCTCAAAGGGGTTAACGAGGGTTTCACTCCCTTATATCTCTGGTGTTTGGGGATTTGAAACAATACATGTACATCGTCAGCGGGGTCTTACTCAAAAGCATACAAACCAGAGATTTTTATGTTTTTTCAATTATTGTCATCCTCCCTCCAATCTTTGCCTAAGAAAAAGACTTGATAGAGTTGGTATAAATATGCAAGCAAATCATTTTTATGAGTGATAACAAATGGATGAGTGAAAACGGATGGATTACTTCAAGACAAACATACTCATTGCATTAAGATTAAAATTCAAAATCAAACAAGTTTCTACATGCGAGCAATGTTTAAATAAACAAGCAAGAATACAAATGAAAATGCAACAAAGAAACAAAATATTGTCATTGTAGAGGAGGCTTGACTACGTATGGACATCTTGATTCTAGAAATTTTGTGGAGTCTTAACATCTTTGAGTCAAAGGAGAATTCGAATTTGACCATCTAGTGTGAAACTGACAACCCTTGCATCAATGAGATTTTGAACCTTATCTCTGAATAGCTTACAATCTTCAGTTGAATGGCCAGGGGCCCCAGCATGGTAATCACATCGGGCATTAGGATCAAATCCCTCCGGATAAGGGGGAATGGCAGGATTAAACTGCTTAGGTTCTACCAAAGAAAACTTGAGCAACTGAGTGAAAAACTGATCATAAGTCATATGAATAGTTAAACACTCTTTTTGGCTTCCTATCTCTCTGCCTTCCCTGTTGCTGACATCTCTACTGATAGATTTGATACTGAGGAGCATGTTGTATTGGATGAGCACGAAGGCAATAATTTTCCTGATTGTCCCTCTGGTTCCTAGGACCTGGGATAAAAAACGGATGCTGAAAAGGAAACTCTAGGAGTATAGGTTGTGGAAGAGGTGACCCAATACAAGAAGTGGAGCCTTGAGAGCGGGAGGTAGTGACCATATTTCTTGCTGTAATCGAAAAAGAATCGACTTGTATGATAGAACCATCTATAGTGAACACGAATGCCCCTGACTTAAGCAAGTAGAAGACTTTGCTCTTCAATGCCATACACTATTCTACATCATGGCCTACACCATCACAATAAAGTTCACAACAGGCGTTAGCGTCATAGCCTACAGGGAGCCTTTCAGGAAGAGGTGGCATGTTTCTCATATTGATCAATTCATACTGTAATAAGAGCTGAAGTATCCATGAATACGACATTGGTATGGGGTCGAACTGAGTCTCAGTCCCCTTTTGCTTTGGTTCATGAGTTACGCACATCTGATTTTGCTGACAAAAGTGTTTTAGAACCCAAGGTCGCGAAGAATAACCTCAAGTACCTCTTAGCGTATTTTCAGTCCTACAAAATGAGGAATGGTGACAACTATTGTCGTATCAGTAGGTGTGGGATTGTTATCTTTTTTCAACATTGTCTTCAAAACTTTCATGACCATGATTACTTGAGTCCTCAACTGACCAACTTCTTCCTTGAGTAAATTCGGACCATGGACCATAGCCTGCATGTCTACCATAAACTGCCCCATATGGGCCCTCATTTCATCCCTCATCTTAATCAAATCATCGTGAAGTTATTCCATCTGGCGTGGTAGATTACTTCTAATTGAGTATCTGTGAGTATTCGTCTTGAATTATGATAAGAAAAGCAGAACTAAGAGATAAGAATATCGGCCTGAAAAACCTGTAATGCATGATATGCATGATATCCATGCTATGTTTTCCATCTCCAGGATTTCAAGAACTTTTTCAACCATCAAGAATGACAAATAAACACGATAATAAGATATAGGCAATAATAAGAAGAGATACAGTGACTAAAATGACTTTTCATTCATAATCAACTTTGGATAAAAAAGGTTTATACAAAAGAAAGCCATAGTGCATCATGAAAGATAAAGATCCCATCTAATAAGACTGGTGGTGATCATACAACAGAAAATGAAATCAAAAAATCAAAGAGGTGGATCCCTCATCTCTGTGTAATACAATGGTCCTCCCTATCTGAAATAATATGCACTCTAATCTTTGGTTTCCTTGAATAGCCTCTTCGTCTTCTCATGATTACATCCTTGAGCAAAACTATCAATCACCACATCCTTCCTGTACAAATGAGTTTCCATATATCAACATTGTTCAAGGAATCTGTCACATTCTTCGCATTCTGGCAATGGGATGGGTATGAGTGCATTCTTTATCTTCTCTAACTGAGCTATGAGCCTTGCATTTTCCTCCATCACCCGGTTCGTCTGAGCTTCCTTTGCATCTCTATCCAATTTGGCATTTCTGAGTTGCTTTTCCAGCTCTCTGACCTTTCTTTTGTACTTGTTGTTGGACACTTGAAATTTTACGCACTCCAGGCGCCTTTTTTCTGCATCTTCAAGGGCTTTTTGGTAGTCTTCTGTAGAAACAGAAACATCTTCCACTCCAGGTCTTCTCTTAGTCTTTCTGACTCCAGAAGTACTAGTTCCTTCATACCCTTTAAGCTAGCGAGCTAAGTATTTCTTTTCTTCTCCCAAGAAGTATAGCTCAATCTCTTTGTCCTTAATATCCCAGCAGAGTTCCCCATTTTCATACTGCACTTGATAAAAACGTTCTTTGGGTACATCATTTTGTAGCTCAATGGGTTGAGGATATAAAGGATCCTCCCTATCAAAAGGAAATATAAGAGTCTTCACTCTATTTTTCACCCAATACACATAAGGACCATAAGCTATTACCTCTATCGTTCCAAAGAACACCTTCCATTTCCTGCTGATATTTCCCCATGCAATTTTCACCTTCTTCAGCAACTCAAGATCTTCTCCCTTCTTGCAGTACAAAGACTTAACTTCCTTTGTTGTAGGCGGGCTCCTCATACCATAACCTTGTTGGCGTAGAGCAAGAACAAGGTTGCAGCTAATTACCCCCTCCGTTCCTATGAGTGGAACATTAGAGAAACCTGTGTAATTGGAAACCACCTCGACACTATCATCCATGAGTTTATACCACCGAATATCAAAAGAAGTGAGTGCTATTAGTCTTGATGCCACGTAAGAGTGTCCTTGAAATTCACAAACAGTCCCTTTATAGGTAAATGTGCCATGAACCATT